AGATTTTTTCTTTCTTGGATGTAAAAAGAAAGACAAATGGCGTACAGGGCACATCGCACTGAATTGCCCATAAAGGCTCATTCTAACATGACTGTACACCATGCACTGCGTTATTCTAAAACAAAAACGTTTGCATAGTGGATTCAATGTTATTGTATCATAACACTTGGGACAGCTGAAGGACATTGGTAGCACCTAGCTACTTTTTTGGTAATTCATTTGCTATTCATTTACATATACACACAGCCCCCCCCCCCCCAAAAAAAAATAGGAAAAAGTGAATAAATAAATAACATGGCACACTTTCACACATCAAATGCAAGCAAGCCATTCATGTTCAATGTACGTCATCACTGCTTCAGTTTTGGAAGACTTTCCTCTCTGGGAGAAGAGCAGGACTTGTGTGCATGGAATAATTTGGCATTTGCATAATTAATAGTGTCTGGGATGAGTTTTTGAACCCAGGTGGCAGCTCAGGTGTTACATTTCTTCTGACGTGTATTATCGTTACAAGATAAGTGTATGCAGGTTCTGGGCTAGCCGTTGCCACAGCTCACCCTGTTCGTAGAACTGCTCGTTGATTTAAAGGGTTTTAAACTCTCAAAGAAAATTGGCTTGGGATTATTATAAGCGGAAAATTTATAGAAATAATCTAGTACAGTCTCTCAACACTTTTAAAATGGTATTATTCATAGGCTAATGGAAATCACAACTGATCAAAGAAATGAAGGGGAAAAAAAAAATTTGTTTTGTTTTGGATACTGAATATCATTGGATTCCAAAGATGTATTACAGGCCTAAGTGATTTATACTCCTTATTTTTTTAAATCATCACTTTCTTATTATTTGTCCAGTTGTTATCAGCAAACTTCACTTTTTTGTTTTTCCATTTTTTATGTTGATTTTCTGGCCAAATTTTGATGAGATGTTACAGTAATTCCCTTCTATTAAAGTTCAAAGGGCAATCCGACTCTTGTAATAAGGTCATTTGTATGCAAGCAGAAAACTGAGACAGAATGGCGACAGTTTGAAATAAATCAGAGCAATAATACGAGACAGATGAATATAAAGTCACTCAGGCTGCGTTCATGCTTAAATTTTGAAGGCAGAATGAGCGATCTGAAACGCTCATCGTGATCGCAGTTCCACGATGTACTGTTCATGCTTACTTCTCTGGCTCCCCCAGGCAATTCTCCGTGTGTGGCCTTAATTGGTCTTCCAGCTGGATTCGCAAACCTTCACTGTGCATGCTACGTAGACCCACTAGAGGTCAGTGCGTTGACCCCATTTAAACGCGTTTACAAATTGTAAACGCATCTTTTTGTGAGTTTACGATCAGCGATCGTGATCGCCGTTTTTCGGTGATTCTACAAAAGTGAGCATGAACGCAATCATGTTTTAAACTGTTTTTAAGCATGAACGCGCCCTCAATCTACCCGTATGTGAATCTCAATTGGTAATTTGGTTGGTGGATTGTAACATAGGGCGCGTTCATGCTTGATTTTGACGGCCAGAATCAGGCATCTGTTACGCGTTTAGTTTAAAACACGGTTGCGTCTTAGCTCACTTTTGTAGAATCACCGAAAAACGGCGATCACGATCGCCGATCGTAAACTCACAAAAAGATGCGTTTACAATTTGTAAACGCGTTTAAATGGGGTCAACGCACTGACCTCTAGTGGGTCTACGTAGCATGCACAGTGAAGGTTTGCGAATCCAGCTGGAAGACCAATTAAGGCCACACACGGAGAATTGCCTGGGGAGCCAGAGAAGTAAGCATGAACACTACATCGTGGAACTGCGATCACGATGAGCGTTTACGATGAGCGTTTCAGATCGCTCATTCTGCCTTCAAAATTTAAGCATGAACGCAGCCATAGACTGGACAAAAATATCAATAATTTCTATTTTCTCCTAAGTGCCTTCTCTCTCTATATAGGGTACTACATGTACTCAAAATATATTATGGATGACATATTATAAAAGGTCATCTAAAGATAAAAGACCATTCCGAGCCACACATTTGGAAAAGACTGACACTTTAGTCATTTTCTAAGAGTGACATTTCGAATTCCACCAATCCGAAGTTCTATATGAATCATAGTGATTATCCATCACTTTTTTACGTTTTGTCCGATTTCATTCAAACTTTCACCAGTCTGCTTCCCTGATTTTCTGATTTCTTATACAATATAGCAGAGTTTGCAACTAAGGTTGGGTTTTCCTTCAATATTTCAGGTCCTTGTGAAGGTAAGGTGGTCTACTATTAACCGTTCATGTACACATTGCAATTCAACAGTGTTTACATAATTCCTTATGATTTGCTGCACACTAAATTTCTATCACTGATAATAGGCACTATCTCGAGATTGCCAAATATCCAGCTATTTGAATTATCCCGATCGCAAACTATCCAGCTAATTTGCATCTTCATTAGACCGAAGTAGCAAATTAGCTGGATAGTTGGTCGGGATAATATCCCAAGATATCTCGGTCTAGTTTGCGGTTTTCCATGTTTACTAGCTGTACTAGCGCGGCGCTGAGCGGTATAGATCGCACGTGCGCGGAAAAACCGGAAATCGTTGTGCATGATGGGATCGGGATATTTGACTCCGTACTTCGGTCTAATGAAGACGGTCGCAAACTATCCCGCTAGATGGGAAATAGTGGGATATTTTGCAAACTAGACCGAGATATCTTGGGATATTATCCCGACCAACTATCCAGCTAATTTGCTACTTCGGTCTAATGAAGACGCAATTAGCTGGATAGTTTGCGATCGGGATAGTTCAAATAGCTGGATATTTGGCAATCTCGAGATAGTGAAGACGGGCCTAATGATAATGACTTTATTCAAAGCTTGAGGTCTCTATTTCAAAAGCTTACCGGTATTACCTTTTTAGCACTCAGACAGAACAAACAACCAATTGAATAAGCAAAAAAATGTTAATTACCAGTAGGAGACTCCCTTCCCCCTCCGCCTCCCTTCCACATTACCATATCTCTCAAATTATTGAGCATTAGTCTACTTGACATTTCAATCTGTTATGCTCCAGTGCGTTAATAAAGCTGAAGCCGATGCCGAAGCTGAAGTGAAGCCAAGTGATGCTTCCAGTGAAGGACGCTATACTGGAAACAACTCGTCTCAAACACAGCCTCCAAATTTAAATTTTTACAAAAGTCAAACCTGTCTTTAATGGCCACCCCCCCCCCTCTCTCTCTCTCTCTCTCTCTCCCTCTCTCTCTCTCTCTCTCTCTCTCTCTCTCTCTCTCTCTCTCTATCAAGGCCACCTGTTCATAGTGGTCATGTATTTTGTCTCTTTGGAGAAAGAAATGTCTGTTGTAGAACCTGTCTACAGTGGCCACTTTTTCATTTTCTTGGGTGGCTTCAATAGACAGGTTTGACTGTATATTGAGTGAAGCTTAATACCTCAGTCAAACCAACGAGACTGGATTGGGGGGGGGGGGGGGGACAGACAGAGACAGAGAGAGTGAGAGAGACATATAGATAGACAGAAGCAGAAAAAGTGAGAGAGAGAGAGTGTGTGTGTGAGTGAGTGAGAGAGACAGACAGAGTGAGAGAGAAAGAGACAGTGAGTGAGAGAGAGTGAGTGAGTGAGAGAGATAGAGAGAGAGAGAGAGAGAGAGAGAGTGAGAGAGTGAGAAAGAGAGTGTGAGAGAGACAAACATACATTATTTGTGTATTTGAACAGTTGTCTTTTTAACCAGACCAGTATTTTATCTGTCATGGTTTCGTTGTACAATAATGTAGATACATGTATGTTTTGTGAATGGATATTCTTTTCTAATTATATGTATCCTCGATCATTGTAAACGCATACATTTCAGCTTTTTAGCTGCAGCATGTGCATCATTGTACTCTTTATGTTTTTCAAAATAAAACTTTGAATAGAATTGAATTGAATTTGAATTGAGATTGGCAACAAGTGACAGACACAGAGAGAGAGAGTGAAAGAGAAAGAGAGCGACAGGGAGAGAGCTTCCGGCTAATCAAAACATTGCTATCAATGATTACTTCCTGAATTACTTCATGAATAACGAAGAGAAAGACTAGTTTATAATAAGGAGACTCACATGGACATGCATACAGCTGGCCAAAAAAATTAATCAAATAACAGCTGTAAAATGTATTGATAAAGTACTCTGTAATTGTAATAACTAAGAATTTAGAATATGGAAGGTATTATGGTGATCTGCTCAAGGAAACAATATATCCACCTGTTCAAATTCAATGTACCCGGGTACTTCAATATTATTTCAATTTCTTTATCTGGTGCTCCGCCATAATTATGCTTGTGTGACATTTGCTCTAGGCTTTATTTCGTTAAAAAGAAACAAGAGTAAAGGTCATGGTTGCAATTGGGTTTAGGTTAAGGTTAGGTTTAGGTTTGCAACTGGGTTTAAGGGTTGGTCTTGGGTTAGTTACATTTATAGTGTTTGGTTCAACATTTGAAACCTCAGTCACACTGCGAAAGCAACTCCACCCAGACTCCGAAACCGACCGCTACTTCGCCATTCGGGGGTAATGTAATTCTTTGTTCTATCTGTTATAGGTCTGGTATCGGTGTGAATGAGGTATTAATTATTTTAGGATAATTGACCTTGCTGCAATTATCGATGGAGCATGTGACATAGAACCTAGAGATCTAGGGCAATTTTTTTAAGACAAAGACATTATTCGGGCCGAGTTATTAATATAACTCTCTTATATCATAAGTCATTTTGTTGTTTGTAAAGTTACGATTGGTTGAAGGAGACGATTTCGGGGAGATACATTCAATTTGAACTTTTTTGGTAACAGGGTCCTGGGACCCGTTTCAGAATAAATTGTCATCAGTGACAAATGACAGTTTTTGTTATCAAGCTACTGATATCCTTGCTTCTGATTGGTTTTCAGCAGATTTGTCACTGATTTTTGTCATTTTTCATTGAAAAAGGGCTTTGTGAAATGGGTCATTGGACTACAAGTAGTAACTTACTAGATGCAGGAACCATGTGATGTTCTTCACGATAGCGTAGCAACCGATGAGTCCTGTCATTACCATGAAGCTCCCAGTCCCAATTAAGACGTACGGCACACTGGAATAGTCCTGGTCTGAGAGGGCCAGGTAGTTCTTCAGTTCTATCACTCCCCATATACCCAGAGCTAGTAGAGCTATGCCAACAACCTAGAAAACAAGAAATAAAATAAACATGGATAACAGTGCATATCAAAAATAACATTGTTGTCAATTTGAAGAATATAGCTGAGAAATACAAGTGACCCAATTCAAAGGAGCCAAGTGGCATCCATTAACCATCAAATTAGGCGTGCCACAAGGTTCAATTCTTGGTCCCCTTTTATTTTACTGGAATAGTCCTGATTAGTGCTGTAACATCACGGATATCTCCAATTCCGTTTAACCGCCAGTCAAAACCGGACGGTTTTCGGTTAAACGATTTAAAAAAAAAAAAAAAAAAAAAAAAAAAAAAAAAAAAAAAAAAAGAAAAAAAATCGTTTTTTTTTTTTTTTTTACCGACTCTGTCGGCAACTTTCATTTAACTGCGAGGTGCATTTAAAGGGGCCGATTTGTGCTTGTGAACTTGTCACAAATAATAGTAACAATGTTATTTTTAGAAGAATGTGTAAGATCATTAATGTAAATTAAAAACAGTAGAGGACCTAGGACAGAACCTTGTGTAAAAGTTGGATGAATTATTATTATAAACTACATATTGAGATGAGATCTATTACATAGATTACTTTCAAACCAAGATGACAGACAAATTGGAGTGTTGTTCTAGTTTTGGAGTGGTGAGTCAACACACAAATTACTGAGCTGGGAGACATTGCCAGGCATAGTGCCAGGTGGAGGGGCATAAATCGAAACTTTAAAAAAAAAAAAAAAAAAAAAAAAAAAATTATTAAAAAAAAAAAAAAAAAAAAAAAATATTAAAAAAAAAAAAAAAATCGGGAAAACGAAACCGTCAAATTGAAAACGGAATCCGCCATGGGCGGTCGGATACCGGACGGTTAAACGTTTGACTACAGCACTAGTCCTGATCTGAGAGGGCTGGTACATGTAGTTCTTCAGCTCTATCACTCCCCATATACCCAGGGCTAGTAGAACTACATGTATGCCCACAACCTAGAAAACTAAGTAAGATGATACAAGAAATATGGATTACAGTGCATAAATTAAAAATACCGTTTCTTAGCTCTTTACAAATATTATTACCCGTCATTGGATTCATTTGCATACAGTGTGCACCGTCTCTACTCCCAGGGGAGTATTCCTACCATATGGTCAACGTTAGGGGAAAAGGAAATTACTAACACAAAGGCTTTAGTCGTCCTGCCAGGTCCCCATTTCTCTCCTGGGTATGGAGTGTCAAATGTAGATTAATGCTTTGCAAATGGACATTAGTGCCGTTTAAGGGATCGATAATATGACTTACAAATGCCTCTTCAAGAGCAGTAGCAGGAGACTTTATTGGATTAGTAATGGTTTAGCACAAACTTAATTTGCCAAGTTTAAGCTACTATAGTCTACTGCAACCTTTCAATATGAGATTAGTTGCCTACTTTAAGCTTATCCTGATCACAGACTAGCCAATTTGCAACATGACAGCAAGGAATACAGCTGGTCCGCAAAGTTGTTAAAATCTCACAGAAGAGTCTTGTGATTAAGACTTTCTGCTCCAACCCAATTTCATGACACCCTTCTCGAAAAGCAATCCATTAGTGAGGCATGGCGTAAAACAAAAAGCAAATAATAAACTGTCTCTTGTTCGATAAGATAGTTTGCTCGCTTATCTAGGGTAAATATTAGCTCCTAAAACACCCATTATCAAAATGTTAAGTACGATTGCAAACATGTACAGTATACCAAGGCAGTCAGGTGAAGTCGAGGCTATATCAGTATTACAACTGTGATCTGTTTGCATACACAAATAACACTATCAGTAATTCAGATTATTACTATTCAACACCAATTGATACAATAGACACAAAAGGATTTCAACGTCAAAGACTGACACCAAACCACTTGCATAGCGGTACGTGCAGAAACATAAATGCTTCCAAATTTTTCTAGCAAATGGAAAATGGAAATGGTTGAATTGGACATTAGAGAACTGGCAAAAGGCAAAGGGAAAAATCACTCTTGTTATCATCTAGAAAGAATTTGCTCCTTGTAGATTTTTGTCTAGGTTTTCTGGCAGTGTATCATAAATTCACTCAACAAGTACAATTTTTAAGTCAAATATTTCACCCTCCGCTTGTTTGATTAGTTACCTCTTACATGTATGTTTGATATACTAATGCAAAATTGTGAATCAGTCAGACTCATTATAATGATAAAAATATTAATAACATCTCTCCTTTTAATAAATTTACAGCTAAGTAGCACATTTTTTCGCCCAATAATCAGACGATGACTCCCTAACCTCAGTCTGCAGATACAGACTCTAATTTGAAACTTGGACACAGTTCCATTGCCAAGCCTAACTCTGTCAGTCTCTGGCTATATAAACTACAGTATACATGTAGTTTCACAGTTTAGACACTTACGACTACACACGGTGCACTCCCAATGCAGAAATGTCCAATCCTAATGCTGTTTTTTTCCTTATTAGAACCTACAGTATATTGTTATTTTGGTATTATCCGCGTTTCATTCTTTTTGAGAATATTTTTCTCTTCAAGTATGTTATAACCTCAGTATCTATTGAACTTGTGACCAAATCAACTTTTTGGGCAGTTGTTTGATGTGCGGTATGTAAAAAAAAAATATTAAAAGTATTTTATAAAGAAAAAACGTACATGTACTACCGTAATTTTGAGAAAAAAACAGAATAATTCTGGGAAAAACGTAATGGTTGGCAGCTCTGTACATGTACCCTATCTTCCTTTCAATGTCCATGCACATTTGACTGAGTATGATAAGAGGGTTGAAGTTAGCGACTGCATGAAAGGATACATAATTGATGCTCCTCACACCGTCAGAGCCGCGATGGGTTGCGAGCCCGAGCTTCTAGACCGTAAGAAAGCGGGTTTAAATTTCATTCTTCACGGATCAGAGATGAATTAATTTGAGACTATCCCTTAGGTACATGTAGCAGTCCGCCTCTGATTATGAACACTTTGCCAAGTTCTCCTTTCTACTTCACACAGTAGCTTCCATGTCATGTACATGTAGCCCCTCCCCCTCCCCCCCCCCCCTTTGCCAACGACATATACATGTATAGTATATGTGAAATGTATTCCGAATTTCCGACGGTGCATATATTATACATGTATCTACAGTATTAACAAGCATGTAAATTGAATGCCTGTAGAATGCATGCATAATATCCAACCTTTTCCCCAGCCTTGTGAATTTAACATTTAGATCTACATGTATATTGGAATGAAAATAATTGTTCAAAACAAATATTTAATTGAAAATTAATGAAGATATTTTAGTTCTTAGAAAATCTACCGACTGGCACTACTGAACATAAAAGTAGGTGATCAATCAAAGCTGTAAGTTAGGAGAAATGAAATTGAGAACTCCTATTCAATGGATTCCATGAAAATGTGAAATTCGATACCAGGGGTCATTTGTAAGAAAATCATTAAATAAAAGGGATTCACAATTTTTTTTTAAATTGGCTACAGGTGTAGACCTAAACAATTAACACCAATTTTGGTATATCTACATGTAATGTTTGGATATATTTTTACCTTCAATCAGATTAGGTGACATATTCCCTTTCATCTAATGGTATTTTTTTAAACAACCATTACGTGCCCAAGAAACTCTACCCAACTTGTTAAAAGAAGTAAGAATTATTAGGCAACTTTTCCCCACCCTAATGTTGATAAATACATGTATGTATGTACCCAAGTAAAGATACCTACCACCAATTGCTCAAGTGGCATTGGTTACAATTAAGGCTGTGCACAACAGTGTAATGAGGTACCCGAGTACACTCCCAGGCTTGCAAGCGAATACTTGAATATTCTGACGCCATGTTTTTTTTGAATTTTTTTGAATTTTTTTGAATTTTTTGATTTTTTTTAATTTAAAAAATAATAATTTTGCCATCACCATACCACTGGTGCAGTATCCCAGTATCGCCAAAAACGCATTCAATTTTACTTCAAGTTGCAGTTGAAGGCGCCGATTTAATAATAATAATAATAGTAAACAACGCTGTTTTAAAAACCGAAGATGGCAGAATAATCCATTGTCCTCCAAGTCCAAACAGAAATCCAGACATTTGGTCCCAGTTTCTGAGTGGTGAGTTTGACAGTGCTTGAGTTGGGAAACATTTTTACCGATGGTACCATGCCAGCAGCCGTCGCTCTCCCTAGCACGGGTAAGCGTCGGCCTGGATAGTTTTTTTTTTTTTTTTTTTTTTGCGGCCGAATATTCAGGTACGAGAAATCTAACCCGAGTAGTTGTCAACCGTGCAGGTACTCAAATATTCGACTACCCGTCGCAGCCTTAGTTACAATAACATAGAAATTATCAACCAGTGATTGCCAACTCTATTTATCCAATATTTAAAGACTTCATTTATCCAATATTTAAGACTTCATTTGTGATAAATCCTTGAAGACTTTAATAGTGGGTGAGTACAAAGGATTAATGATGCTACCACATGTGTGTACTAGACAAGCAAGAAGCTTTCCCTACAGGTAATAGGATTACTCTGTACCATTCCACACACACACACAAACAAATCAAGTTGGCAAATGGGTTTTCTGGGAAAACTTTTCAATTCCCCTGTTTCCTTCACTGCATTAATTTTGCCAAATGGAAATTATAAGTTGGCAGAGCTAGATCTTTGTGATCACTACCTGTACGATACACATGTACATGTACGTGCATACTATGTGCGTGTAGGGAACCCGTCATAGCCTTTAAAAACTAAAAACTGCATTATTTGGCATGACCAGCATCTTCTTTATTGACATCCAACTTTAGGTGTGCATATCACAAATAAACATAGCAATTTTATAATAATAATGATATGTCTATTAATATAGCGTAGCCACTAAACATGTACTCTACTGCACTTAAAGGTACTTAGTAACATTGTGATGGTTGATTTCACGAATCTGTTGAATCAGGATGCAAAACACATAAAATTATGTTTGTATGTATGGATTATCCAACTACGATGCCCCAAATCCGAA